ACATTAAAAATATTTATCTTAAATTTAAAATTTAAATCTTTGTTAAATTTTATGTGAGATGTTAATTTATTTTTATGTTGAATTTTAGAATATTCTATTTAAATTAAAATGTTAGATTTTTTTTGAGAAAGAAGGCTTAAGGGCCTTACCCTGAACCCTGTAAATAAGGGTCAGGCTTTAGAATTAGATCAAATTTTGGGTAATCGAACTTTAAGGTTTGAGTCCTTAAAAGTCGGGCCCATAAGAGCTATATCCGCCTTGATTCCCACCTCTAATAGCGCCCAACATATTATTTATTAATTTATAATACCATCATGATTTATATTAATAAGCATATGCTAACAGAAACAAAATATCCAAACTTGTAAAAATTTCGGCCAAATCTCTCTTGCAAGTTGGACTTCCCAAGATGTCTACGACCTGCTAAAAAGAATATCTAGACAACATATGAAGGCTTGCCCCATAATATTGTGTGTGTTGTGTGTGTGTGTGTGAATACATGAAGCAACTCTAGAATTAAAAAACAAATATTTTAAAGATTTACATTAGTTCATGAGGTAATCAAAAGCGACAAAATGCTTCTCATCTCAAGGTGTCCCACAGTCTAGTGAAGGACATGTCTATTTATTATATGAATACCAAAAGTTCTTCCTATAAATAATGTTCCCAAATAATAATGATAATGATAATGATAATGATAATCATGAACACATAAAATTAAAAATAAATGACTAATCTAATTATTGGTGATACTAAAAAGATAACAATGCAATTTATTTTCAATAATTGAGTAACAAATAATAAGGAAACAATAGATAATCATAACCACTAAAATAAGAATATCATTTGAAAATTTATAAAGGCACAATTCATATTTTTTTAAGTGAAAATATAAATTAAAAAACACAATTTCTATTAGGACTTAAACGAAACAAATAACAAGAGTAAACGCATAATCCATGAGAGTAAGTCATATCCAACAAAGCAAAAAGCTATGAAAAAAAAAAACACAAGCATAAAGCTTATGAATACTATATGTGGATTACATCTACAAAAATACATCCTTTGTTTTATGCGTGTTGGCCGACACATGAGATTAGTACCCCCATACACCTTGCTAGGTATGTATGCTAGGCATGTCAAGAGCTAAAGAAACTTTTATTAGCAACCAATATTTTAAATTTAGTCTTATAAAACATTTCTTGTGTGTATGAAATCTAAACACTAATACAAAATAATTTTTTTACACTCTCATATTTGCACCAATTCATGCACATATGGTGTAGAAATAAGAGATAGTTTGTAAATAAATAGGTGATTGTGATGATATCTAAACCAGTTACTCACATAACTGGCATAGATTTGTTACCCTCTAAACTAATTATGATACATAACCGGTATAATTATATATTCTAACTTTTTTAAAAATTATTTTTAACATATCTATCTTAGTTATTAAGTATAACCGGTGTTGGTATGCTTTCTAAACTTCAAAATTATTTTGCTCTAATCCCTTGCGTTCTCTCTTTCCTTCTTTCTTAGATGCTCACGTCCTCCACTTACCACTCTCACTCTCCTTTCTGCTTCAGCGCCCCGCCGCCTCTTCCCTCCTCTACTCCTCTATCATGCTGCTGCCATTTGAAATCTCAAGTGTAGCTTTCATCCTTGCTTCTTGATGCCGTTTTTGCATGAGTCGAGCTTCAATCTTCACACCATTCTTGCTCCAGCGTCCAGGTGCGTCCTTAGCCAGTTCTTCCCCTGTATTTTCTTTGGGTGGTGATTATATGAGCTTGCTCCGTTATTGATCTATTTGATTTTAAATTTTTTAAATATGCCTACACGCTGTTTTAGTGGTTAACTTTATTTTCTTGTTCCTTTTCTGGCATGATTTCAGCGATTTTTTTAGGTAATTATTTTTTGGGATGTAAGATTGGGTTTTGATAAGTCGAATCTTGGAATTCATATTACTACTTAAAAACCTGCTCTTTTTTTTTTATTTTCTAATATAACGTTGACGAACAAGGCAAATTTTTCATCATGTGATCAGGCAGTTGCAGCTTTGGGGGAAAAAGAACCCAAACTTTAGTTAGTCTTATATGCTATGGCCTAAATTTAAGGGTTCTATATTGACTACTGAGCAAACAATTCTATGTCCTAAATATGATGCTTCTATTCAGTTTCTACTCTTGTTATTTAATATTCAAAATTGTTCAATATATCAAACCAAAAAAAAAAAAACTATGCCTTGCATAAGTTTCTCGGGGATGGTCAGTTTCTAAGTTGTTGCATGCTCTTTGTTTGGGTCATTCAAAAAAAATGTTTGGTTCATGCATTGACTAAGTGCACTCTGAAAGTAATCACGTATAAAGAGTATCCGAAAAATGAACTGTTAGTGAGAGTTATATCATTTGCATAGGGTATAAATTTAATAACTTTTTTTTTTGGTTTTTTGGGAAAAAGAAGTAAAATTTTGCAACTATTTTCTCCATCAATTTCAAGATGTTCTTATTTAAGTATTAACTCTCACCTCGTTCGTTACAGGGCCAAATCATAAGACGTTTGAGGTGCAGTGTTGAAATTATTATTAGTTCCTCGTGTCTGTTCCATTATATTATAAGAGATATAATTACTCATTATAGTGCATGAAATTTAACACCGCAGGTGTGGAACCCTCTTGGAATTGTTGGTGTTATCACTGCTTTCAACTTTCCACGTGCTGTCTTAGGTATGATATCTCTGAGAGTACCAATACAATGAGCTTTAAAAATATATATTATAATACTAACAGCTTCCTAGGAATATTAGTTAATTATTACACATCACTAGTTTGGGATTGCTAAGGGACTATGTAGAATTTGATTGCAAATTCTCTTTCTGATAAAGATTACGTGAGATTGGATATTATCAAAGTCAAAGAAAGAGGTCCTAAGTTCTAATCTTTGTAAATAAAGTCTTTGGTTATGTGCTATTCTCTTTTAAAGATTTTCTAGTTCTTATTTTGTTGAGACCAAATAATCATGAAAAAGAAAATGACATGAGGGAAATACTGCGGTGAGTGACTAAGTAGTACTCAAATATTTTCTTATGGGGTGCTGGTAGACTGACATTTAACTAAAATTAGAGAACTCAGGGCTGTTGCTGGAGATGAAATATTTGTATCATAACTATATGTTGTTGACTCGTATCATCATCATCATCACTATTTTCCCCAATCTAGTTTGTGACTTTGTTGTCTATCTTATGAATTGGGTTGTAGATTTTTCACGTGTGTCACTATTTTTACAGTTTCTTTCTTTTTATTCATTTTTTCCTATAAAAATAACTTATTTCCTCTATTTCTTGCTGCTTAGGATTAGGGTCTTATATAAGTTCAACTAGGAGTTTTTTAGTTGATTTGATCTGCCTTGTAAATTTTAGAATTGGATATTAAAAGTTGCAACTTCTATTGCTAACCATTCTTGTTTGATCAAATGAGAATTATTCATCCTTGTTTTCTATTGCAAATGCTCCTAGCAAGCTCTCAGTCCTATTGTGGCTCTTGACCAGTATATTTAATTGGGTTTTGAACCACTATGCTAATATGAGCACTAATTGCATTAGCAAATCAGGTCACACTCTTACCTCTTAACAAGAATTACTTGCTTCCCTTTATGGTTTGGATCTTGTTGCGAGTGCTCTTTCCCCTTGCATTTTTTCCATCTTTATTTTTCATCCAATAATTTCCTTGTAAAGTTTGCAAGTTGTGTTTGTAAAGAACTATGATTTAAACTTGAGCTTGCCAATCTTTCTTCATCCTAATTTGACCCCTGAAAATGTAGTGCACTTTTTCCTTGAATTTAATGTTATTATATGAACGAATAAAGCTCAGAATCTTAAATTTTATTGAATGAATAGAGCTACAGAATCTTCAATTTAATTTTTATCAATTTAGTTCATTTAATTTATCTAGTTATTAATTCGAGAATTACGATAGCTTCTCATGGATTTCAAAAGGAGATTTAGCCTTGTGGGAAATGACCAAAGGACATTTGGAAAAGCAAAAAGAAAAAGAAAAAAGGGAACATATAACAATCTACCACTAAGCTTAAGAGAAATAATATCAATTAAGCCTGTCTAATCATTGTATCCATATGGTTTTAGATTCTTAATACAAATCATTACCTGTCTATTGTCTCTCTCACGCTCTAATCATCCAATATCTCATACTCCTATTCCGATATACACAAAACACAACTCATTATGTAATTAACTTCTGGTTAAGCGAACCAAAATGCTACAAGAAGAAAAATTAAACTACTAAAAAATATTATAGAAGATAAATTAGTTGCCCGCTAATTTTATAAATTATAAAGGTACAGACTTTCCCAGCTTAACTGTTTGGTTTAATTGTCTAAATTTTTTCGTCAAAAAGCCCAAAAAAAAAATTTGTTAGACAACTCAGTCTCAGATGCTATATTCCCTCCTAGCTGTGTATGGGACAAGCCATCCTTGTTTGTAGATATCTAAAGGGCATCTTAGAAAGAAAGTCCAACATCAACATTTCACAATTTGGGGATTTATTTTATTTGAATTGTAAACGAGAGAGGAAATGTTGCAAATTTAGTTTGACCAATTCCAGAAGATTTCTTTCAAATTTTTTAAAAATAAAAATTACAAGACAAATGTACATTGTACAACAAAGCTGGCCACGTGCTTTGTAGTCCACAAAATGAAGGACAACGGCATCAAAGAGAACATTTTGGAATAATCGCACTTTGACGCTTTCTCCAGTCAACTTTGTCTTTTTCACGTGCTTCCTTGGAACATACGTAAATAAATAATAATAATAATAATCCAATAAATCACAGCCATCATATTCACCTGCATTCCTCAAGCCATTTTCTCTTTCTTCTTTCAATTAGTAATTATCATATATTTTGTCTAGAAATGACCTAAATTCCGATTTCTGGCCCCGTGTTTGCAGAAGTGCGCAATATCCCAACAAAATGAACAGAATCAAATCAGGAAAGACTTGTTTCCAAAACATCCCACTATGTAAGTATTACTTGATACTACACATGACATTGTAATACATATGTAAGCTGACTAAGCTCCAAGATCATCGCATGTCAGAAGAACAATCAGAAAACAAAACAAGGAGCTTCAAGTGACAACCTGAACAGGATATCTATGAATACAATCGTCCCAGGGACTGTTTGGCGAAGCCTTCACGTTCCTAAGAGCTTGCCAAACCGCACTGTTACACTTGAACCCACTCCCAAACGCAATCTGCCACACTCTGTCTCCCTTCTTCATCCTCCCCTTCGCTTCAATGTATCCCAATTCATACCAAATCGAACTCGACGATGTGTTGCCGAATCTGTGGAGTGTCATCCTCGACGCTTCCACATGAACAGGAAGAAGCTGAAGGTTCTTCTCGAGCTCATCAATCACAGCCCTCCCTCCAGCATGAATACAGAAATGCTCAAAGGCTAGCTTGAAATCTGGTATATATGGTTTCACGTTCGCGTTCAAGACCTTCTTCGCCATTAATGTTGCGAAGAACAAGAGCTGCTCGCTGATTGGAAGAACCAGAGGGCCCAGTGTTGTGATGTTGGTCTTTAAAGCTCCTCCTGCTATGGCCATTAAATCTTTTGACAGTGAAACCCCTGTTTTGCCAGCATCGTCTTGTTCTTGATACACGCATTTGAATGCTTTATCATCTGCTCCTTTGTGGGTTCTCACGGTTTGGAGCAGCCTGTACTTGGCTTTTCTTCGATCTGAGGATTTGTTTGAGAGTAAAATCGCAGCCCCGCCAACGCGAAAGAGACAGTTTGGGATCAACATTGATTTCTGGTTCCCAAAGTACCAATTTTGAGTGATGTTCTCTGTGCTAACTACGATTGCGTATGTGTTCCTGTGAATCTGAAGCATGTCTTTGGCGAGATCGATGGCTATGACGCCAGCACTGCAACCCATGCCTCCCAAATTAAAGCTTTTGATGTTACCCCTTAACTTGTACTTGTTAACGATCATGGCGGAAAGCGAGGGCGTGGGATTGAACAGGCTACAGTTGACGACCAAGATTCCTATGTCCTTGGGCTTAACCTTGGTGTTATCGAAGAGGTTGTCCAATGCTCCGAACATGACCTGCTCTGCTTCTTCTCTTGCTGCCGCCATTGATGGCCTCGGTGGGATGTAATGCATAGCTTCGGGAACGTATGTTTCTTCGCCAAGACCAGATCTTTCTAGAATCTTTCTCTGGAATTCCAGGGACGAATCGTCGAAATCGCCCGTCAGCTTCGAGTGGTCCATGAATTGTTTGAATTTTACTTGCAGGTGCGACGGGGGTTTGTAGCAAGAATAGTCGAGGAGGTAAACGGATCTGGGTCGGGTCAGGAGGTAGAAGGTGGATCCGAAGACGAGGATCGCAGAGCAGGTGATGACGATGACGAGATTGTACTGTAAGTGGAGCCAGAGATGGCGAATCTCTTCCGGGTTCATCTGGGAAGCTTGAATTATAACGATGGACATGAGAGGGATCATAAAGAGAGTGAGCAGATGGGTCATGAGATAGTGGTAACCCAGTTTGACGTACTTGAGGTTAACGCTCTGCAAGAAGTCCGGCAACCTCCGGCCATGGTGGATCTGAAGAAATCCACCGTTTGCGGGGGCGGTGGTTGGATCGGAACTCATGGCGGATGAGATTGGAATTCGAAGAGGATTTGTCAAGGAAAAATTTTTTATATGAATCGATGAAAATCGGAGGAAGAGGGATTATATACCGATTAGAAAGAATGAGGAAAGAAAAGCATGGAAGAACGAGAAGCCATGAAAGGAGCTTGCTTGCTATTGCTAATCGAATCGACGAAGCGCCATGGATGTTATATATACACGTGTAGGTATCTGAATGCGCGTGTGTGAAAAATGGAAGTGGCCATGGGAATTGAAACGTGAGAGAGAGAGAGAGACTTCTTTTCTCTGCGATTCTGCAGTCTCCAGTGCCCCTCCTTCTCGGATGAAACGACGTCGTCTCCACGACGAGGGTCTAATTGCAATCACAAGTAGGCAAGCACGATACCAATTGTAGCTTTATAAGTAAAGCCGGCAGGGTGACCATTTTAAAGTGTTGTTTTCTCATTACAAGTAAATCTTTCTATTGGTTCGAGACAACTCTTAATAAATATGCCATGAATACTTCCATATAATAGTAAAATCTTTCATTGTTTATAGCATTTTGACTAAAAAAATGATCATCTTGTGAAATGCACCCCCATTACGTCACCACATTTAGGTTCCCACGTCAGAATATAAAAAAATTTAATTATTTCGTCCAAATAATTTTAAATCAATTAAAGTCCGGTATTTAAATCTTAACCAGCCAATGCCACCTATCCTTTAAGAATATTTTTTGCCAAGTTAGGTTTTTCTTCTTCATGGATAGCCAAATCAAATTGAATCATGTGTATAGGGATTGTAATAGAATTATCGATTACCTAACAAGCTTATCTCACTCTTTAAATGTTAGTTTTTGCCTCTTTAATCATCATTCATGTTCAAATTTAAAAGTTGAGGATTATAAAAGAGGACAAGTTTGTCTTATCTTTTGTTTTTTTGTTACTTGCAATTTGTTATTTAGTTTTGGTTAGTATTGCATTTTAGTTTTCATTCAAAAAAAAAAAATAACTAACCCCATATCTAAATTATGCAACTTTTGAATCATTCAATCATTACAATTTTAAATGTTTAAGACATTAATCCTTGATGAATAACTTTAATCTTTCATATTTTTTATTTTTTTAAAATTTGAGGATTGACATTTTTAAAGGTTAAAACTACATGAATTAAATTACATTGAGTCAAAATTCAAAAACTATGTTTAATAAAGTCAAAATTATTGGATTGAGTTGCACCAAGTAAAATTTAGCGATCAAGTTATAATTGAATAAAAAATATAGGATCATTAGACCATATGATTTATCTTCCCATGAAAAATATATATATTTGGCAATATGCAATATAATACTACATCAAAATGATTCGGCTTAAAATAACAAAATCAAGCTAAAAGGTACCACAGTTGCTTCTCCAAGAGAAGAGAATCTACATATAATTGAATAAAAGAAATATTAATGGCAAAAATAAGGGACTCTAGGCCCTATTTAGTAAGAAGTATTAAGTCTTATGGGATTAGGTATTGGATTAATAGTGGGAATAAACTTTAAAATTATATTTGATATATCATGGCATTAAAAAAAGTCTTAAATTAAAGAAAAAATTGTGAAAAAGACCTCAATGCCCTCATTTTCGTTCAACCACCGTTGCTACTCAACTTAAAGGAAACTCAATGTCTCAAATCAAAAATCAAAACCTATGATTTGAAGCTGGCTTATTGCTCATTGGAGATGCAAAATGATGATGAAGAACCTAGAAGCAAAAGACAAAGAAACAAAGGGTGGCTCATCGCTCAACCTTGCTCACCATCATTTGATTCAATTTCAACCAAAAAATGTCATCAACCTTGCTTTTCCCTCGCCATCGCTATATGTAATGTCCTCTTTGACATTACCAAAACACACCACACGACACTGTTATAATAATTAGGATTAAGTAAATCCTTATACTAGTTTACCACAATAAATACGAGGTAAAAAAAATCAAAGTAGTTAAAATTGGGATTTCAAAAAAATCCTTTTTAAAAAGTGTTTGAACTCAAATATAAGTTTAAAACATAAATAAAGGAGTTACGGAGGCATGACAAAGGAAATAATTATAGCAGGCATCAAAGAGAAGCAAATTGGATTAGGTCTAATTTGCTTCATCCACCACAATAGATGGCATAAAGGGGGAAGCATCAATGATATCTTGATAGCTCTATGGGTTTAACTTCAGGAGCACATTGTTTCAGCATCCGACATTTAATTCGAGCAATTCAAGTGTCCATGCATAGCTAAACAAACCAACTAACTATTGACACTGGTTTCATATCATTTATAAATTGAACACCTAGGTAAAAAAAAGTTACTTTTCCATTTCAAAACTTGCCCAAAGATGTCCAAATCTACAAACCGTTTGCCAATAGCCTGGGGACTACTTAAACCAGCTCACACAAACCATAATATACCTAATAAAGTGGTTATATTCATATACATACATTTCAAACACAAATTATCCTTTAAATCTCCAATTTAACATTAATCAAGGGGTGAATGCTTAATTAAATACAATAATTTCATGGCCAACCATAAATATATAATTGCCACAATGGTGACACTTGCAAGTAATCCCAAAATTACAATATTATAAATCTCACAACCATTTGCATCACATATAAGTGATCCTAAAATCAATATACGTCCTAAATTAGTATAAACATATATATATATATATATATATATTCTTAGTTACATAAATACCAAATGAAAAAGGCTATACAATAAATAGCTCTCCTAATTTTTGGTAGTGTCCTCCTTTCATTTGCTCCTATCGGAGCCTTCACTTAAAAAATGTAACCATGGGGATAAGAATGTCTCAATAGCCAAATAATTTAATATATATATATATATATATATAAGTACATTAGAATAGTACGTAAGCATGTAAAGTGGTAATTAAAACAAGTTATCCGGATACATAACAAGCATATGAATATAATTTCATCCAAAACAATACATTATCTATACTTCACCTTATATCCTTATTAATACCTTCAAATGAATCTATGGGCTAATAATTTAATAAAACCAAGCACTTGTAATTGAATTGGCCCAAGCTCACCAATTATGGGAGGCAATCCAACCAAAGGTGCATTTTCCCATTTTCGAACCACAAGTTTCCCCTTTCTCAAATATCTGGGTTGTCGTATGCCCAATCTATCACCAAGATAATACTAAGACTTCCAAACAATAAAATTGAGCACCAATAGATACCATATAAATTTCAAACAACATAATTATCTCGGGGTGAATTCTCATCCTCTTACAATAATCATATTCATACAATCTAACATATAAAATCAATTCATCATAATTAAGTCCAAATCAATAGCTAGTATTTCAAATGTAACCATTTTCACAAATATATATACAGTGTGCGCGCGCGCCCACATTTTTGCAATGACTAAATAATTAGATTATCAAGTTACCTCAACCTTTTTATCATAAAAAAAAAGTTACCGTGGCAATTACAAACTCCTTTCGCCTCCATTGGCTCAAAAGTGTCCAAACAATATTTAATTTACAAAATTAAATACTAATCATTAATTTATAACTCTAATAAACACTTTTTTTAGCCTGAATTAGGCTATCCACACTATTCAAATTTCTTCTTTAACATAACCAAATAATCCTAACGCATGTCATTAGCCTTATTTATCATTCCTAAATCTAGATAACACTAAATTTTCACCCACATTATTCTTAAAACTCAAATTTAAGCCTAGGGTTTATCTAAACCCTAGCTAAAAATTGTAAATCACTATAAAATTATCAAACTTAGGTTTAAAAACTTAAATTAACTCCTCGTAAACTGAAAGAACATAATAAGTTTGGTTATAACCCAAGGGAGGACAAAATCAATACCTTATTATACCCAAACTCACTACAAATTCACATAAAGAAGGAGGAAGATAGACAGGAAGCTTACAAATGTGTAATCTTGGCTTAGAATGTCTTTAAATTAGTCCAAATGTGAAGCCCTAGTAGAGACCGGATGAACTCCCTCTTATTTTCCTTCCTTTCTTTCTCTCTTTTCTATCTCTCACATGCTCGATTAACCAAAATTGGGTCCATCCATTATGGTGAATAGCATAACGAGCCTGATAGAAATTGAGCCTTGCACTGGAACCCAGTTGACCCGAACACCATTATGGTCTACGCCTAAGGCTGTCTAGAGGTCTAATAAACCCATTGGTGGTATGAAAATATCATTAGCTCAATAAATGCTCAAATTTACTATTTTTCCCTTGTTCAAATTTTAAAATTTCAAGTTTAAAATTTAAGAATGTTACACCGTACACGTTTCCTCACTCTCCATCCAACATCTCACTCAAGCTTTGGTTAGAGGGGATAAAGTCAATGCTCACTTGTAGAGGTAAGGATGAGAGAGCTAGGGGGAGTGAAGAGGCAATTTGGTCTACAAAATTTTAAATTTATGATTGATTTTACAATAGCAAGGGTGATGGTACTTAATCCTACCTAGTTGAGATTAAAATTGAGATTAAATTTTCATTCCTCATGTCAAACATGAAAAGTTGGTATTGTTCAATAGTGCAAGTCTCATCCGACCCCTTAATTTTTTATACCAAACATGGCCTTAGAGTTTAGAGGTCATTCTAGACTTGTGCATGATTGAAACTGATGTGAATTTCAGTTTTTAATTTTTTATTGTTTTTATCAATGTTCTTAAATTTCGAAAGAAGAGAGCATTTATTTGACCGAAAATGTTTATATGACCTTTGAAGATACAAGGCCTGGCACTTCCAATTATTCCATGACCAAATCTCCTGGTGAACATCACAAAATCAAATCACTCCGTTTGCCAGTCAACTGCACTCAACGGGCAACTACATCTCCAAGTCTTCAATCCATGCATCAAGTCATAAACTGCTGCCATTTCTATTTGAAAAATCAAAACTTCATTAATACCCCGCTCTACTTTCTATTATATAGGCACCTCTAGTCTAATTACTTTGCAGGAATCAAGGAGGGACGACTAAATCATGTGGGAGGGGTGTTCCGTGATTCAAAGAGTGAGTCTCTACTCAGTTTCTCTCATCATCTCGGCGCTGGCACTAGCTCTTTTACAGAGATTTTGGGATTTCTTTGGGGTCTGAAGGTGGCTTGGGACAGAAGCTTTCGACGAGTAGAATGCTCTCCGTGAGATTCATGACTTTCTGGAAAGAGACTGGCATATCGATGTCCAACAGTATAGTCAGAATGCTAATAGGGTTACCGATGGTTTCGCATACTTCGCCGCGAACATGGCGACTGATATATCTTTTTGCTTTTCCTCACTCTT